TATTTTTCAAATTTAAAATACATTCTTATTTATTGAATAAGCTATGGACTTATTATTATTCACTAGTTTATAGAGAAGTAGAACATTTCTAAGTGAAAAATGAGACAAAATACTCTTTGTTTTACATGAAAATAATAAAAGAGAAGCTAAACATCAGGAATCGTTGACTGTGGCTGTAGATATATTGCTTTAATAACAGCATACAAGGGTGCCATACCTAAGTTTGTGCTTGTTTTAAATTGGATGCAGCAGCAGAGCAAATGTGTCTGGACTTAAATCTAACATAGATCTCTTCAGATGAAATGAGAACATAAGATACTACACTAATTGTGTATGTTTCCATGCCATCTTCTAACAAGAGAGGGAATAACTGATAATGGAGCATGAAGAGCTGTGGGGAGCTGAGAAGTGCTCTGTAAAACTGACTACAGTGGTTGAAAATGCTGGGCTCCTCACAGCACTTGGGCTAGTGTACTGAAGATTTGTTACTGTCCTCTGACTAGAGGATAAGTCCACTAAGCAAGAGCTGTGTATATTATGCTTGCAGACCAGCCCACTTAGTTCTGATGCGCCACTTGGTGTGAAGGTGAGGTGGCCCAGCTCAGCTGTAGAGAAAGAGGGAGAAAGTGCTGAGGGTTCAGGCTGCTCCCCAAGCGAGGGGACCGGCACTGACTGCGATTCTTAGGTCCTAAGTTACATGCTAGGTTCAGTACATATCTATTGAGGAGCCTGTTGGGCTCATGGAAGGTGTGGGAGATGTTATTTTCATCATTTATTTATGTGATTCAAATACTTGATTTAGACCAGTGGTTCTCAGCTTGTCACATATCAGATATCCTGCATATCAGATACTTAGATCATGATTCATAACAGTAGCAAAATTACAATTAATAAGTAGTAATTAAATAATTTCATGATTGGGGGTCACCAGAACATAAGGAACTGTATTGAAGGGGTACAACATTAGGAAGGTGGGGAACCACTGATTTACGGACTGGGGATATGGCTTAGTTGGCAAAGTTCTTTCCATGCAAGCATGAGGGCCTGAGCTCAGATTCCCAGCATGAATATAAAAAGTCCTGTGTAGCATTGTGTGTTTATAATCCCATTCCTGGGGAGGCAGAGACAAAAGGATCCCTGGGGTGAGAGTAGCCCGGCTAGCAAGTTGGTGAGTTCTAAGTTCAGTGAGGGGCTGTCTCAAGAGATTAAGTGGAAGAACTGGAGAGATGGCTGAATGGATAAAGGATGTAAGAATGAAAACCTGAATTTGAATCCCTGGAACTAAATCTAGGTGTGATGTTCATATAAAATCCCAGTCCTTTTGCAGTGAAGCAGGGGAAGAGTTCCGTTTGCAGACCAGCTAGCCAGCTCTGTCTTAGGGTGGTTGTCCTCTGGCCTCTGCGTGTGCACCCACACTCATCTGCATCACACACAAGTATAATGTGGGGAGCAGTTGAAGACTCTGGCCTATACCAAGTCCTCTGCACACACACCTGCATACACGTGAACAAGTACACAAAAATACAAAAGCCAAACACTTGCTCTGATTAGAAGAAAGTCATTTGTGTCTGTATGCTTTTGGGTGACATTCTCTGCTTTGTTAACATTCTCAGCCTTTGGGGTTTATGTGTATTGAAATGCTGGATTCGTGTTTAGTGGAACACCACACTGCCATGAGAATGAAGCACCTGCAAATGCACAACGGTAGGTGAAGCCAATCCCAAGACTCATCCATGGGCATAGTAATAGGCCAGCCAAACTTTTTTTCAAGTCAGGAGATCAGTTTTCTTGATAATAAGGGGTGATGGAAGAAGGAATCCTTCTGATATGGTCACTAGATTCACAGGTGAATACCCTCCGTCAAAACTGTGTGCACATCATAACTATATTCTGTGTATGTTATACCTAATAAAAAGTTTTAAAAGGAACTTTTCTGTAGACAAATGCATGATACTTGTAGTTCATTTGTATTTCCTATTGATTTTTCTCTGTTCTTGCTTGATTTTGTTATTAGCTGAGACCTTATTACATGTACTGCTTTTGAAAACTGTTTCTTTGCCCTTATTCATGCAAAGTGAATGAGGGTATCTTCCCTTCCAGCTGCCTCCTGTGGTGCATTCCAAGCTGCTAGAAAAGGACAGAGGCCATGCAGCAGCACTAGGGTTGCTTTCCAGCAGATGCAACTCATGTTTCTTAACTAAGCTTGAGACCCAGCAAAAAAAGAGGGAAAGCCTTGCGAACGAGATGAGGCTGCGGATGGGCTGAGATGGTCAGCCCAGAGTGGGTTCTTGGGGACAGAGAGGAGAGCTGGCCACTGGTCAGAGAGCCATGTCCTGTGATGATTGCATGTCCCACAAAAAAGCCAGTGCACCTGGGCGTTTTGCTCACATGCCCTGAAATCATCACTCATTTTTAAATTGACATCCAAAGGTTTTCAAATCAAATTTCAATTTATTTTTGTAAAAGGAGTGACAAATACTGAATATTTTACAAACTGAAAGTGAGTATGGCTAAGTTGAGCTGGTACCTCATGGTGGGTTCTGATGGTAGTTATTGAGTATCTTGCAAATGCAAGCACAATGAAGTGAAGGAAATTTTAAATCTCTAGTTTATCGGGAGTGTTTTGTTAACTCTGTAGAATATTCCAGCTTAAAGATTCAGTTGCCCTTGTCTGACAGCCCCTTGGGAAATCCTAGTTTGTAGCCCCCTGGTTCACACTCCTAAAATAGTTTCTAATGGCAAATCTCCTCTGTTAGGATTTTTAACAAGAAGTGCTAGGATTTGATCACTGATGATAAATTACACCTCCAAACAGGTACTAGTGGATTTCAGGTTTCAGGATACACAGACTCGGTCTAAGAGCCCATGTGAGCAACGAGAGTCTGAAACTCTTTTCCCCAAAGTTGCCTATGAACATTTATTTCCTGGAAAACTTTTGAAGTTTGAAGAGTGCTTTTATATATTTGCATAAGCAGACAAATTAAACCCTGCTGGCCTCTGGCTTACATGTAAACAGTTAAGGGTGAGAGGTCACACTCAACCCTTTGTTTTTAATGGAAACTGAGACAGTCTTTATTGTTAATATAAGCAATTTCAACTGAAAAAGAGGCAACTGAAAGTTAAACTATTGAAGCGTAAAGTCTGTTTGTATGCTTGAATTTTGGAGACGTCATCTCTCCACCATGCCTGTGTACATAATGAAATTTGGAAATTTGTCCTAGAATTCTCATTTAAAACTAACATGGTTATTTATAGCTAGATACACAGTAATATATGGTAATGCTTTCTTTAAAAGGTAGTTTGTTTATGAATAAACTCCAGTATATTAAGAACTTTCCATTATTGGGTATAGTAATTACAAAGGCTTCCACTGAGCAGTCATACAAATTAATCTGAATTTTTTTTTCTATATAGATACTTTCAATAAACAAAATGCTATTATTGCCTTATACCCAAGAGACTTAAGTTGTATTTTTTGTTATTTTAAATGAACTTCCATGTTTCCCTACCTACTCAGCTGCTTTTCTGTTGTATAATTCTGTTTTGGGTTTCTGGGTTTGTCCAGAGCACATCTGACATGCAGAGTGGGTGTCTTTTAAACCAAGTATTTTTTTATTAGTAATGTTAGGTTAAACTAAATGTTACTGAAATGAAACCACTTAGTGTTTCTTAACTTCTTTTTAAATGGGCAAAATGACCTTCCCTATCTAGGACACAGGCATAGAATCTGAGTCAAGATAGGCTTTGAACCTGAGCCCCCTGCCTCCTGAGGACCTTCCTAAGGAGCAAGAATTGCAGGCCGGAGCCACTAGAAGTTTGTTTACCTGGGAATGCTTTTGAGTCTCATCCTGAGCATAGAATACTAGTTAAAATGTAGATTCATAGGCTTACACACAGGTAGCCTGTATTTGGCTATGCATCGAAAGTCTGACGTGCAGTAAGTGTGAGGCCTGCTCCCTTGGAGCGGAAGAGCTTATATTGCAAGTCCTTCCCGCAGAAGGTAAATAATAAGTCAAAAAAGCAGACTGAATCAAGATAGGCCCATTCTTTCACCTCAGTTATAAAGTTCATGTTACCATGAAGTTTAATAGTCCTGGTTTTCCTTTAAAATACCAGATTGATTCTGATCACTTAATTGCATACAAACTGTTTTGTTATCCATAAGGAATACTTATCAATTGCATTGACCTGATTTCCTATAGAAAGGGAATGAGATGAACTACCATCAAATGTATTTAGTCCTCTCTCAGTAAACTCCCAGTCGTGTGTTAGAGTGATAACTGCAGCCAGTGGAACCAGTGCCACCTCCAGTTTCACAAATGAAGTGGAGAGGACCCCTTACATGCTACATAGGATGATTAGTACATTTCTGCCCCTCAAACGTTTTTGCTCAAACAAAAAGATGACCTTCAGTCTCACCCTTTCCACAAACCTTCACTCACTAAGCTTTGTGCCAGGACTCAGGGCTAGCAAGGTGGCTCCAGAGGATAAAGGTGTTTGCAATGCAAGCCTGAGACCCTGGGTTCAATTCCTGGAGCTGTGTAAAGATGGGAGGATTTGCACCTACACTCACACACATCACATGCACATGCATACCACAATAATAACACAATTTAACATTTTTTATATTTTTTATTGATATTTTTATTAAGCCCTACATTTTTCTCTGCTTCCCTCCCTGCCTGTCCCCTCCCTCTCTCAAGGTCCCCATGCTCCCAGTTTACTCAGAAGATCTAGTCTTTTTCTACTTCTCAAATTTAACATTTTAAAAAATAAGTTCTCTCTCATTGTCATGGGCCATATTTTATCCAGTAAATTTGTGAAACTGAATTTGGCTTCAATCGTGCAACAACCCTTTCAATACTATATCACTGTTCTCTCAAAATTGATCCATCTTTCCCATTTCATTATGAAAGGAAACTTTATTTCAGAGTAGCAAGTGCATTGTCTGAACTCATCAACACCCTCTCTGTCCCTCCCCCTCCCCCCGTTTGTTGCAGACCAGGATGAAAGAGCAGCTGAGCTCAGCAGGGAGCAGAATGAGAAAACCATCCGGAGCACACAGACTGCGCTCCGCAATTTCCGGGAGTTCCTCATCTCCAAGTACCCTTCCGAAACCAGAGAGATCTATGTCATCCCTTGCAAGGAGCTAGATGCCTACCTTGCCTCCTTCTTCGTGGATGCCAGGCAGAAGGATGGGTCTGAGTATGAACCCAACAGCTTGGCGAATTACCAGTGTGGGCTGGAACGGTACCTGAAAGAACACAGGTATGGCTACAGCATCACCAGAGATAAGGAGTTCAAGCGGTCCCAGGAAGCCCTCAAACAGAAGCAGATTGAGCTCCGCTGCAAAGGAAAGGGAAACAAGCCTCACAAGTCCATGAAACTCACGTTTGCTGACGAGCTCATATTGCGAAAGAGGGGACTGCTGAGCAGGTATAACCCCGAGGGTCTGCTCAACCTTGTCTGGCTCAACAATACAAAAGCCTTTGGGCATTGCACAGGTTTCCATGGATCCACCTTGAAATGGGGCGATATCCGGCTCCGCGTCACAGAAACCGGACTCGAGTATTTGGAATGGATGGGTCAGGACACCGGTGATCTGAATGCCAAAACCAAGAGAGGAGGGACAGACTCACGAGTTTATGCCACCCAGCATGCCCCACAGACCTGCCCGGTGCAGGACTATAAGGAGTATGCCCAGCGGCGGCCCCCAGCGATGCGCTATGAGGATGCCCCCTTCTACTTGTCTATCAAGCCAGTTGTGAACTTGGCAGCTCTGCATTGGTACAATTGCCAGGCCCTTGGCAAGAACAAGCTAGCCAAGATGGTGAAGACCATGTGCGAGAAGGGCAACATCCCTGGCAGGAAAACCAACTTCAGTGTCTACCAGAGCTGTAGCACCTTGTCCGAGGCCCAGAGCAACCAGCTGGTGCTCATCTGCAACAACTTGAGCCAGCAGGCTGCCCAATCGGTGGCTGGCCACTCCACCAACGGCAATTTCATTGTCTCCTCTTATGACTCTTCTTCAGACACAGCTTGACCAGGTGGCTTGCTCAAGACCTCACTTCACTTCGGTGTCCGTGTCCCATGAAACCATCATTGTATACTGCATTCTGTCGTCTTTCACGTGCCCTCAGTGTTAACTTTATAAAATGCAAAATCTATATTTTTTTCTTTTTACAGATAAGCCAATGGCAATAGTTTGGTATCACTAACAGTATTTATAGGCTTGAGACAAATAAGTGTGCTTGTGGTTGGTTTCATATAATTGCTGTTACAGACTTGGCAAAAACATAGTGGTTCTCAGGCAACAGTAGAGGAAGAATTCCGTTCTTAAAGACAGTCAGAAAGGAAACCAAGAGTCATTCAAGACTCTGTTCTCACTCCTTGTCCTTGCCTCCTTCTGCTTTTAATCTCCTTCATAGATGAATTTATTTTTTTAATTTTTAAAAATTCTTTATGAATCTCACGCAAAATGTTGCTGAGCCAGAGCAGATCCTGAAAAGGGGTATCATAAGTTCAACACCAAGTTATTTACATACATTTTTAGTATAGAGTTTTAGCTTCTGAACCTCCTTTCCACAATATATGGAAAGACCAATGCTTAAAGTATTTTTTCTTTGGGGGGGGGTGGAAGGAGGATTAAAGGTGCCATTCTTTTTTTGCAAGATGTATGCAAAGTCTGATACTGGGGGATGGGAGGAGACAGTTACATAGGTCATTTTTAGTGGTGTGATTGGACCTGCATAAAAGTTTCTTTTTCCCTAAGTCAGTGTAAATGAGTTTGATCATCAGATATACATGAAATTTTAAACTTTCAAAAATTTTGAAAATATTTCCAAGTGTTAGATTGTATATCAGCATAAAAGAGAAGGTAGGAAATGAGGCCCCACTAACCATGTGGCTGCATTGCTGGAGACAACAACCTGCAGTTCTCTGTTCCAGTTCCTCAGCATTACAGCCAGCTCTTCTCCCTAAGGGAGTCGACACCCATTTTCAATCACAATATTTTGTTACCCGACTTAGCAGAATTCAAGGCATTCTTGAGTTTCTTCTCAACTAATAGAAGTGTATTTATCTGTGGTATTCTGTAGGTAGAATAATTTTGTGGTGTTTGCTCCAGTCTTTGTTTTCAGGTCTTGAAAACTAGTAAATTGTTAGTTAAAACAGTTCAGAATTCAAATGAATTTAGACATTTGAGCCACAATATGACTGAGTTGGGTTCCTTCCCATCCTGTGCAAACAGTAATAACTAAGAACTCTAAAAACCATCATTGCTTTGTCACAACCGAGCACCCTGTTGGGGAGGGGTTTATTCTTCAATCCAACCTTATAACTCACATTAACTTGGAAGGTAGGCCGTATTTTATTATCGTCTGATACAAAAGGAGAAACATTTTTATCAGGGAGCCAAGCTTTCCCATGGCTAGGTAGCTCTTTGCATTAATACATAAGAGGCACATAGGCCTTTCTTCTAGGCTGTGATCTGTAGTGTAGAAGTGGCCCGTCTGCCGGGGCGTTGGTGGGTAGAAGGAACATCATGAGCTTGTCCTTCTGAGAGAAGCATTGTTAAGAAAAGATGTATATATTTCTAAACAAGTATTATCTAAATCCTCTCAGCAACCTTAAAAAGAAAATCAAGTTATCCTCATTTTATGGTGAAATAATAAGTCAGTTAGATGAAGAAAGAGTCTGTCTTCTCACCGCAGGCTTTTTGTATGAGCTAGTTGTTGGTTTGGATGGTTGGAGCTAGAAATGGGAACAGCATCTTTCTATTGCCAATGGCTCTCTATCTAGTTTAAAGGAATGCTGGGATGTTTTATGGTTGCACACTGTCCTCTAACCCACATCCCCATTGCCTCTGTTTAAACACACAGCTGCTTTCTCCCAGTGCCTCTGCAAACCCTCCCCACTCTTGGAGGCAGACCCAGCCTAAAGGAACTTTTTTAAAGGTTGTTTGTTTTTATGTGGCATACCTGTCATTTTTTTATCATCATAATTTTTAGGTCCTCAGTCATGTTGGAAACAGAGTTGATTTTGAGAAAAGAAAAGAAAAGCTTGCCACTGCACTGAACTGAGAGGATAGAACTAGGGAATTCTGCATCCCTGCTGGTGTTCTGGAGTACTGACACGAGCATCTGCCCTGCCTAGTCTTAAGTGCTACCTTCTCATCAAGACAATTACATCAATAATGTGAATTACTTTTATTTACTTATGTTTTGCTGCGATAACTAACCAGATAGGAATACTGTGATATTTAGATTAAAACAACTTTTCGAAAAATGGCTTATTAGAAGAAGCATAGTCAATTTAGAGCTTCTTTAATTAAGTTATAAAAAGTTCATGACTACCTCTAAATTTTGTATTTTTATCTAAACAATACTGAGGACACACCACTGCCGGATGTCATTTTTATTACTTGGAATTTTAACTTAGAAAACTTACTCCACTCTGTGGCAGAGGTGCACACCAACATTTATCGTGCTTACTATGGCTAATATGAATGTTTCATCCACTATTAAATATTTATCTTAAAATTTTCCTGTTCATTCATTTTCTCTTAAGTTATTGTATTGTGTTCTGTTTACTACAGGGCTTCACCACATAGCCTATCCTAACCCTCGTCCCTCCACATCCGGAGTGCAGGAAAGCAGCACTGTACAGAGTTTATTTCCCTAAATTAAAGTATTACCTGAACTACAATATATTGCCTGCATTTTTTCTGGTGTAGACTAAGTCTCTAGTTTTTTTAGTTAGGTTTTTATTACTGCAAACTCTGGCATTAACTAACATCCAGAGCCATAATATCAGTGAATCTACTGAGATCAAAATTTATGGCTACATAGGCAAATATTTATTGAATATCAAGTTGGTGGGAAGTCTATAAAGATGTATAAAATTCTTCCTCTTCTCAAAGAAAATGTAAAGACGCTGTAATAAAAGTTCTACTTTTGAGAGCCCAGCGCCCTCAAATCTCCGTGCTGACCTGTTCCACATTGCCTTTCACACTTCGTACTCCTGCAGTTACTGAAGTCTTGAATATTCCAGTTTGCTGCAGAGTGTATCCCACTTCTTGGAGAATTTTTTTTAATTATTTTTATTTTCTGTGCATTGGTGTTTCGTATATCTGTGTGAGGATGTCGTGTCCCCTAGAACTGAACTTACAGACAGCTCTTAATCACTGAGCCTTCTCTGTGATTTGTTGTCCTAAGAGATATCACTCAGCTTGTCCCATTTATATTTAGTTTTCAACTATAAGTGGGGAGGCAAACTAACCCAAATCTATAAGTATTGGACTCCAGTTGCAGACCATGGACCAAAGGGAATTGTTTTCGTGGGCGTTCTCCTTCAAATCCAACTTTACAACCATGCTACTGGTTTGAGATACAGTTTGTACTATGAAACATACCTTTAGTCAAAGGATTGAAGTTTTATCAACATAATTAAGATTTTCTTAAGTGAATTTATTTAGTGGTTTAAAAAAAAAAGGGCTAGGTTCTGAAGAACCTGAAGCCACTGCTAGCTCTACAAAGACCACAAAGAAAAAGAAAAAGTCTCAGAAAGCATCCAAGAGGATTAAAATGGACATGCTTGGTGGGAGGGGCATACCTTTAAGGTGACAGTTTTTACCCATGATTAACCCCAATAAAAACACAAAAAAATAAATAAATAAAAAATAAAAGAAAGGTAAAGTAGTAGCCTATACTAGTAGCAGGGAGGTTAGAAATACAAAATGGGTTTCTTACATTATCTTGACTTTTCTTCTGAAAAGGAAGCTAAGCATAAGAAATTTCACAGACATAATTTGCAAATTATATTTATCAGAATCAGTGGAGACAATGTCAAATTTTAAGGGTTTTTTTAAGAGTGCAGTGTAATTACTTGTCTTTTTATGAAATGTCTGTCTTGGTATGACACTGGAATTAGCATTTTTACCATTTTGCATTTATTTCAGTGGGAACTTTGAAGAAGTTTACTCGTTTGTGGTAGGTAGAATTAGGAAGGCATCAGTGATGTAGAACCCTAACAGTTATTGTGCATACAGTGTTTTAGTGGCTGCTGATTCTCTGTGTTGTTACAT